CCCGAAACTTCTAACTCTCGGTTGTAGCGGGGGGGGGGGAGAGTCGAAGTGGAAACTGCCTCGGAACCATCGTCATTTCCCTTCGCCCCCCCACCTCCCTCCCAAGGCAAATGCCTGCAGAACACAGCCTTTGTGTCGAGCCTATATATAGCCTCGCCTTGTACACAGGTGATCATTCAATAGAATCATCTTTCCTGAACCAGATCCTCACACTTGGTAATCAGAGCGGGTTTACACGCGAGGTCTTCAACCGCGTAGTTCCGGCCTTTAAAAACCGCGGGGGCGACGACGAAGGCGCCGATACGGGTATGTAAAACCAGTTCCGCGCAATTTTGCGAAGTCCCCCTCGATTCGGTTTTCGAACACCCCTCAGATTTTCTGGTGGAAAGGTTGGAGTTTCGACCGTTCGATCGAGTTTCATCTCAACGGCCCAGAGAATTTCGCCCAAAAAAGTTGGAATTTGGAGCGTCGGATCGAGTTTCTTCTCAACGGCCGAGATCGAACGCGAATTTCGACTAAGGAAGTTTGACGCGACTTACAGAATTTGTGCTCGTCGATTCTACAGTCAACTCGACTCGCAGTAAGTCGACCAGCACCCAAAATTCAATTATTTTCGTCGCGCTTCTTTCTGTAAATCGCCAAATGGAGGGAAAAAGAGATATTTCAGTACAGAAAATCGCGGAGTTACGTGCCGAGCATAAGCAGATACGTGCGGCGCTCCCACGACTCGAGAAACTCCTTGCGAACCAGTCGGCAACCGCCACAGCAGCAGCGAATGCAGCAGCGACAGCAGCAGCAGCGGCGACACCGACAATTCTACCTGCGACAACGGCAGCAGCTACAGTTAACCTCGAAGCAGTGAAGCTGAGGCTACCGGAGGCGTTCGATCCTATAGTTAAAGGTTACGACGTTCGTCGATTTGTAGCTGAACTCGAAATTTACTTCGAAGCCGTTGGATGCACGACCCCGACAGAAGACGCAATGCGCATACGGCTCGCAGCAACACTGTTACAAGGCCCAGCTCTAGAGTGGATCAACAACAAAATATTCCAAGGCGAAGGGACGTGGGCGCAGTTTTGGGCAGCACTGATCGAACAGTTCGACACGTTGAACAGTAGCTACTACGGAACACGACGCAACAAGCCAACTAGTGGCATGGGGCGATTGGCACCACCCACGACTGCTGAACCGATGGAGAACGACGAGGGCGATGTGGAGCAGCGGCTAGCAAAAACTGAGACGTACAAATTTTGCGGCGCTACAGGACATCGTATCTTGGCGTGTTGGGAAATGAAGGGAAGGCGTGCGGAGCTGAGATACAAGAACAGTGCGGCACCCCCGAAGCAGAAAACGGACAACGTGGCAACTTCGGAGAGGGCGAAAAAAGGAGAATATGATGGCGCGAGTTTAAAACGTCACGACCAGCCGGCACCAGGGGAAATCGCCGAGACAAATGGAGACTCCGCGAAACAAGACCCTGCACCGACTGGGAAACTCCAGCCGTACACCCCGACAAGTAAGAATATTACTTCTCGTGGGTTTCAAGCCTTTATTAAGGGAGAGTCAGAAATTAAACCGGTACCGGGTAATATGGGGACCCTACTCCGGAGCGCTAACAAGGGTCGAGCGTTCCGAGGAGTTAATATTCTCTCCCAGCAGCTCTGTTTAAAGGCTCCCTGTTCCCCACAGATGAAGCCTACACAGCTGCAAAGGCTTAGGGGAAGGTTCCAGGCTCAAGAGAAGTTGTACCAGCCTCGGATAAATCCTTCTAACCCTACTCAGGTGATACCTGATATTGAAGCTGCATCTTCGAGCGCAGGACCTAGGGATGACATATTCGACGTACCCTACGATCCTATAAGCGATACCATCTACGGCTACTCGGAGCAGCAACAGCCACTAGTACTCGAGGTGATCTGCAACGGGCGACGTCTCCAGACACTGGTGGAAAGTGGTGCGTTCCACTCGATGTGAGACTGCGGGACGTTGGAGAAAATTGAAGAATCCTCAGAAGAGACCCAGTTTACAGCAACGATGGTGGACGGTACGAAGCTTCCCATCCACGGCGAGTCAACACTGCAGCTGCAGATAGGAGCGTTAAGGTTGAAGCCGACGTTGCCGATCACGAACATCAAGGGATTATATTTCATCTTGGGGCGTGATTTTCTGAAGCAGTTCAACCCCGAGATCGACTGGGTCAACTGGAAGGCGTGTATCTACAACGACGGGAAACGTGTGAAGCTGCAAAGGTGGACGGATACAGGGGATACTCCTCATCAGCAAGCCATGGAGCAGCTACAGACAGCACTGACTACAGCGCCAGTACTCATCCTACCGGATCCAGACAGAGACTACGTGGTGGAAGCAGACGCTAGTGACCAAGCAGTCGGAGCAGTACTGATGCAGAATCACGGACGCGGTTTGCAGCCCATCGCCTATCTGAGTAAGAAGCTACACGGAGCAGAACTGAACTACCCTATCCATGACAAGGAAGCCTTAGCGATAGTCACAGCCTTCAAGGCGTGGAGGTGTTACCTAGAGGGAGCCAAGACTACAGTTTCCACTGATACTGCAGCCTCAAATACCTGAAGTCGCAGCCGACGCTCTCACGACGACAGGTGCGGTGGGTAGACTTCTTGGAGACCCACTTCCACTACGACATCGTCTACAAGCCCGGGCTACACAACAAAGCTGACGCGTTGAGCCGCCCTGGTCATGTAGCAGGCATCCAACTCAACGGAATGAACCCTCTACTCAAGGGTCTATTCCAACATGGGTACTCCGTGGACGGCGAGATCGCTACAGCAGAGAAACAGAAGTTGTTACAGTGGGAGAAGGACCTAGATGTAAGAAAGTGATCAGGGAAGATTTGGGTACCGAACTATGCCCCGCTCCGACAGATCGTACAGGAGGAGTTTCACGATGTGGCATACGCGGGACATTTCGGGAGCAACAAGACGTTAGCGGGAATAGCAAAGTATTACTACTGGCCCCGGTTGGCAACAGACGTGCAGCAATTTGTCACTTCATGCGACACGTGCCAGCGGATGAAGAGTAGCAAGCAGAAAAAAGTAGGTTTACTTCAGCCAACCAACGACCCGTACTGGAGCAGCCATGGCAAGTTGTCCGCCTAGACAGAGACCCTAAGTCCACTCGTAAGTTCTGGAGGGAACTCATGGGATTGTTGGGGACAAAGCTTGCGATGTCTTCAGCGTACCACCCCCAGACTGACGGACAGACAGAGCGACTCAATCAGGTGGTTGAACAGTTACTGCACACAGCTTGCAAAGACGACGTCAGCCACTGGGATTCACAGTTACCGACACTTGAGTTCGCTTACAATAACGCGTCGCATGCGGCCACAGGGAAATCTCCATTCTTCCTGTGCTACGGACGGGAACCACTTACACCACAGCAGCCAACCACACCGGCACACGTCCAAGCCGCACACGACTTCGTCACCACCATGCAGCAGCTATGGGAGAAGACTCAGCGACGTCTCACCACGATGCAGAACTCCCGGAAGCCATGGCAGGTCGTTAGCCTCGACTTCATCACAGGACTTCCCTCGACCTCACGGGGACACGATTCCATCCTCGTAGTAATCGATAAGTTCTCCAAAATGGGTCATTTCATACCGACCAACGCCACAGCTACAGCTGAAGCAACTGCTCGCCTCTTCTTCGACCGCATCATCACCATCCACGGCATCCCTGCTAGACCTATCTCAGACAGAGACCCAAAATTCACTAGTAAGTTCTGGAAGGAGCTTATGGGACTGCTGGGGACCAAGCTTGCCATGTCTTCAGCATACCATCCCCAGACTGACGGACAGACAGAGCGACTCAATCAGGTGGTTGAACAGTTACTGCGTACAGCTTGCAAAGACGACATCAGCCACTGGGACACACAGTTACCGACCTTAGAGTTCGCTTACAACAACGCCTTACATGCGGCCACAGGAAAAACTCCTTTCTTCCTGTGCTACGGACGGGAACCACTTACACCACAGCAGCCAACCACACCGGCACACGTCCAAGCCGCACACGACTTCGTCACCACCATGCAGCAGCTATGGGAGAAGACTCAGCGACGTCTCACCACGATGCAGAACTCCCAGAAGCAGTATGCCGATCGCCAGCGACGTGATCACTCAGTAGCAGTCGGAGATCAGGTGCTTCTTGACACGCACAACTTGAACCTGTCTCACCTACCGTCCAAGCTCCGGCCTTGCTTCTGTGGTCCCTTTCGCGTTGAGGCGATCATGACACCAGTTACATTCCGCTTGCGCTTACCTATTACTTGGAAGCTTCACAACGCTTTCCATGTTCAGCTACAAAAGCCCTACAAGGACCCCAACCAGCAGTTTACGGGACGACAACTACCGCCACCACCACCTGTTCTCGTACAGGATGAACCAGAGTACGAGGAGGAACGATTTGTCGCTCATCGACGCAGACGCGGCAACACGCTCGAGTTCCTGATACGCTGGAGGGGATATGACCCATCGGAGGACAGTTGGGTTGCATAAGCTGATATGGGCAACGCACGCCGTGCTCTCAAGGACTATCTTGTCAAGCAGGGTGTTTCTCACGCCACCCAGCTTTGAGGGGGGGACGTGTGAGAGTACGACGGCTTATGCTGGCTTTGCTAGCTTGCCTGGACTTTATTATGTTATTACTAGCTTAGCTTTATTTTATCTTGCATGCTTTTGCTTGATTTCCTAGATTCGTTGCCTTTACTATAGTTATTATAGTTACTTCACGGAGCCCTCGACGTGGTACGATCAACACCTCTTCTTCCCCCTTCGCACGGGCACCGAAAAGCAAATACCGCCCACGACTCATCACGACTGGGCGGTGAAGATTCTCGATGACGCGGGAATCACATGCTCGCGTGTGGTACACGCGACCAGGGCTGGGGGAGCGCAGCACGCGGCCGCGGACGGAATGCCTTTAGATCAGCTGGCGAGACTGGGGGGGTGGCGCTTCATCGACGTGATGACTAAGCACTACCTCACAACTATTCCGAGGGAGGCCGTGCTCCTGAAGGCTGGCTTCACAGGGGTTGATGGTGACTACTTCCTGGGTCGCGCAACCGTCCCGGTTAGCCCGGAGCTGGAGAAGCTCCTGAGGAAGCACATTTTCCCCTGGGCTGCCCCGGACAAAGGACAGAAACAGGTATGTGTGGGCCGCGCATGATAGTTCCACACGACCGCGAGCATTCCACATAACCCTCTGCCATCGCGTTTACGACCGCGTTGTTTGATTGTCACAGTGCAAGGATTACAACCGCAAGATGGTCAAGGAAGACAAGCCGGAGAAGCAGGACACCGTGGGGCTTAACATACTAAAGGAGCTGGATGGGGAGGCCAGGATGGCGGTCGCACAAGACCTGGCCATGTATTACATACACCAGCCGCGACACCCGTACGTGGTCAACAACCCGCTCTGCCAGACGGAGGAATTTGCGTCGTGGGCTGCGGATGTCTCCTTGGCAAATCAACTGGCCATAGTACAGCGCGACGCGACGCTTTGCCCCAAATCGTGAAACATAGTGTCATGGCACGAATGCTACAAGCTCTTGATGACTCAGACCACAACACGGAGGATTCACACCATCGGATGGTCGCCCTACAAAAGGTACATGATGCACGGTATAACATAGTGCTCTTAACTGCTTTTAACCATCTTCTAAATGTTTATAACAAGTGCACCCCAATCTGCACCGCAGGCCATGGAAACAAAGAGAAACACACTCGTGGCCACGTTGCACAATGTGAACTGGAGGAACTGTCGATTTGTTGGCGGCGATCTTTGGCGGGAGTACGAAACAGCAGCACCTGGCGACATGTTGCAGCTCCGCGCCTTGCTATCACAACGACAAGCCGATGGCATCAAATTAAGCGACGAGATCCAAGTCAGGAAGGGCATGGCTATACCAGGTGATGAGGATTAAACAAGGTATTCTAGTCAAACGCACTATGTTCATGAAGGCACCTTGGTTAAGTGATGTTGCTGTTTTGGCACTTAGGTTGAAGTGTTATCGGATGGCACAAGGAAGCCCAAGGATGTGATCTGGTATGCGCGGTTGCTGCTCTTGTTCGTAGTTGCACCAAAGGATCCAGCAGCAGAGTTGGCGGATCAGAAGGAGCGTGCATTTGTTAGGTTCTACCAGGTTACCGACGAGGCGCATGCATCTCATTGTCCTGTGCTAAGGTGGGAGGAACCGGATAATGAGTATCATGCGGTAGAGATTGACAGTATTTTGAGGCTGGCAGACGTGGTTCCTGTCGCCGAGGATAGGTTTGTCCTTAATAAGTTTAATTCTACTGAAATTCTATGGACCTACAAAGTTTTTCTCGCACACAACCTTTCACAATGCTTGCACCACTTTCATAATCAGTAGGAATACCATGAGGACCAAATTAGCCCCATTATCCAACCAACAACCCAAAACAATGAAGTTGGTTCAAGAGAAATCTTGTAGCTGCAATTGTTTTTTCTACATCTGTGAGTTCAGAGTTTAGGAACACAATCAACCTATTCTCATCGAACCATTCTTGAAGAGCATATCTTGTTCATTCAGATCTGTTTGTTTTCTCACGGACCTGCGAAGATTTCAATGTCATGACTGCGACACTTTTTTGCTAAACACTAGACGTGTTCTGCTGTGCACGGGACGAAACTTATGTTTACGCTGTGCGCTGACTTTTACACTCGTTACACTCGGCCATGGTGACGAAATCGTTTACTTGTTTGTTTTTCTTTTCACCCCCAGCTGTCTCGATTGTTTACTGCTGCACTGTTTGGCAGCACTATCACTTTCGTGTTGTCTCTTTGTGACAGCAAGTTTTCTGTCGCGTTGGTAGTTGGTTTGTGGGCTTGGTGCAGTGTACATTACAATATCGGCTGGACTTCTGCACCAAGTCTTCAGGTGAGTTGTTGCCTAGCTGGCTAGCCGAGAAACACTCACTGGCTGGCGCCGTGCAAAAGCACAGGCGCGAATATTGTAGCCACACTCTGACTCTGTGCTTCACAAATTTGCCCTGCTGGCTTGATGAGCGACAAAAGAGCACACCCTCGATGTGCAGCGCTGACAACTGGATGTTTCTGACTATTGAGATGTATGTGCATCGATCAAAATGGGGGCAGGGTCAATAGATTTTGTTGCGTGATTGGACGGTGCAGTACTGCAGTCTAAACATTGTTCTTTTCGACTATTTTGTTTGGCGAAAAAAAAAAAAAAAATATGTGTGCTGTATCTACTCGTCCAATCTGATCGGCAGTTCGCTAAATTCCAGAAACACCGATATCTTCTGTCCATGTCATTCCGAACTTCTGGGATGTTCATACGGCGCGCCTCGGAAAAAACCCCGCCCACGCCTTGGGATGCACGGGGCGCGGAGACACCGCGGGAAGCGTGGGGCGAAGTCGGCCACCCAGGATCCCACCAGATCTGGACCTAGCGCGGCCCTGCGTGGCTCAGTGAAACCCACCAGGTTTCCATCGAAAGCTCCGCGACCCCCCAAAAAACCGAAGGAACCCATCTCGTTCTTACGCGCCGATGCATGCGCGACATGCTGGCTGACACGTGCAGCAATTTGAACGAGCCACACGGCTGTCGCTGTTTGGTCGAGTCGCGATCGCGGTAACGTGTCAAGCACGTCCACGCAGCGTCCGGTCATTACTCCCAGCATGCCCACATTCTCGCTTTTCGCTCGCCAGTTGGACACCAAGCTCCTCCCTCACGTGACCCACTGGATTCACCCGACTTAGTCGGAAAACAGGACACTAGTGTCGTTGTTGCGATGTGGGTCGCGCTCGGATGTTAGTGAGCACCGCGGTCGCGTTGTAGATAAGTATAATTCACATGCGGTTGTACCCGTAGAGACCGCGCATCATGTTGTTGCGCTGAGTAAATAGGAGTAGGGGCAATTTCGCACGCTGCATGCATACCGTGAATCGCGTCGCTGCGCCATAACTTCAAGACTCCATCAATGCACCAGGCAACTCAGCCCCGCCCCGAATCCACAATGCCGAACCGCCAAGCGCTCCCGTGCAAAACATGCACGCGCACAACCCCCCATGGAGCACCCCATACGTGCAGCCTGTGGTTTTTGGGTCGCGGATGCCCGCGTTCCACCCACGGCAACTGGTCAACGGGCTCCACCTAGCACCGCGGACACAGATACCGTTTGCACCATCGACGGTCGCGTTTCATGCCCAGCAGGAGGATTTGAACACGCATGGAGTATCCACGCCGCATCCCGGACAACTGATTGATGGACAACACACCGCGTCCGCGTCCGTGCCCACAAGCCAGCTCTTTGGGATGCCCGTGCGTGGCTTTGTAGGGCCGCAATACGCGAACGTGGGATTCAGGTATGGGTACATTGGCGTTCAGCCAGACCCCATGCTGCACGTGCCCGTATCTGTCGCGACGCCTCCAGACGCGCCGTCAACCCCATTCCCCAGCGCGATTCAGCCGGAAATCCAGGCAACGGTGCAAGCCCCGCGGGACCGCATAGAACCTTTAATGATGGGTGTGGACACACAGGCGCGAGCAGACGGCCCATCAGCGATCACGGTTCTAGATGGTTCAGGGCGTGCGGAGAATGGTGGAGCGGGAATAAATGCAAGCGCGCGTGCATTTTCGCCGCCGATCTGGAACGTGAACTCGCTGTTGCCGGGAAACCCGGACGTCCACATCTGCACCCCCGCGCAACCGACTGCAGCGGGTGCGACCGGTAGAGATGGGCAACCACAGGAGAACGCGGGGAACGCGGGGCATGGTGCGGGTGCAAGAGGGAACGCTGAAAGAGGAAGAGGGACTGGAGCGAGATGGGACGCGGGAAGAGGGACTGGTGCGAGAGGGACCGCGGGAAGAGGGAGAAGTGCGAGACGGGACGCGGGAAGAGGGACGAGTGAGAGAGGGAACGCGGCTAGAGGGAGATGTGCGAGAGGACGGGGTGGGAGAGCGAGCGCGGGACGGGGGACCGGTTTAGAAGGGAACGGGGGTGGTGCGAACGGAGGGGAAGCGCCTGAGGGAACAGGTAACGGCGGCAGAGGTAACGGTAACAACGCGAACGGAAATACCGGGCACGGGCCAGTTAATAGACCGCGTATAAGGAGGAGGCGAGTCGATGTTGTGCCGGACAACGCACGCAACGGATCCGGGGAGGGGAGCGAGGGGGCAAGCGATGACGATGACGAGGAAGACGATGAGAATGCGGATGTCAGTTGGAATGACGATGACGAGAACTACCTATCTAACTCTATGTCCGCGCTCAATGAGGATGAAGCTGAAGACAATGAACGAGTGCGGGGTACGCGAACGGACAGCGAGGTTCCTATCACGGATTGGAACAGGCTCGGTGTGGACGACACACCGGCAGCCAAACGGGAGATGTGCATGGGTATCCTCTACGGTGTCTCTGAGGCCACGCTGAAAAAGTATCGCGGTTGGGCCAGCGAATACAAGCGGTTGGGCCACGAGCTGCCGAAACTGGACGCCGGGAGGTTCGGGGAGGAGGCCGCGTTAAGAGACGGGAACCCCGACGAAATCGGGGCCGCGCTCAAACAGAGCATGGGTGGTAGTTGGAAGATGGCGAGGGGCGACGAGCAATGGTTCCACGGCCCAGAGACGAATCCGTGGCGGCTAAGGAAATACGTGACATTCCTGGCGAACGAGACGGTCGCACAGGCGGACAGGATGGCAACACTGAAGCGGCCCGACAAGACATTGAAGAAGAGACGTCAGTGCACCCCTGCAATGCTGATGGGGCGTCTCAAGGCTCTGAACATGCTCATCAAGCTGGATGGGGCCATCTTCAGGAAACCCATCCTCAACCTGCTGCGCGACTTTGCGGAGTGTCACATATGGGTCCGCGTTCAAGTACGCGACCAGTACAAGCGGTTTATAGCGTAAGTAAATGTACTCATTGATCGCGTTTAAGTTCCAAAAAAACCGCGGATGTCTAACACCGGCACTATTGTCCAACTGGATGCGCAGGGAACACATGGATCGCCATCGTGGCACAGCCGCGGACACGTACACCACGGACGAGTTCAAGCATATGATGAGGAAGACAAGCATGGACGCGATCTTGACCAGCTTCACCCTAGCCAAGAAGGCCTACACGCAGGCAATGCATCGCGACCTCTGCATCCGGACGATGACCGTGCTCGGTCATCACACTCTAGCCCACGGGTGCACGATCCGAAACCTCCAGCTTCCAGACATGATGATGTGGAAGCTCGGCGCGAAATCTGAGACCGATCCAGTGAGGAACGCGTTCGCGTTTGTCTGCGCGTGCAGGACGGGCAAGACAAACAAGGACTTTTCGCTCAACTACATCTCTGTTGTGAGCCACATAGATTGGACTCTGTGCGCGGTCGGAGCCACGCTGCTATGGCTGCACTGGGTGTACGACTTGGTTCCCATCCTCTACGAGGACATAGCCCCCCCTCACCAATCACTAGGTTGAGTGCACCGAATTCTAGGCTTTTCGGTTGCCACCGAATTGCCTTCTACCGAATTCGGGAAGGACCCGTTCGGGACGCTTCGCGACCCGCGGAACCTTCTAGTCACACCCGGGTTACTGCCTTTGTGTCGAGCCTATATATAGCCTCGCCTTGTACACAGGTGATCATTCAATAGAATAATCTTTCCTGAACCAGATCCTCACAAAGAAGGCAGCGTCCACCTCAACATTTCCGTAGGCATCGCTCGCTGCTATTGCGGTGCACCAGATCCGAGAAGAATGATGCGAGTGCGTGTTTCGGGGGAGGAAGTTCCGGGCTCGGCGCATCCTCAGTCGTATTGAGGCGACATTTCGGCTGCACGTGAAGGTGTACACTCGGGTAACGGGGAAAAAAATGGATGAGAGGGGCGGTTTGAAGCAACAAGGGAAGGCTTATGTGCTGGCTGGACAAGAAGACCGGTTGCTTGGACATATTTGACGCTCGGTGGTAAAGGGTTGGAAGTGGACCCACAACTTCGGCGCGCTTTGGAATCTTTCGCGGGGGCTTTGCATCCAATCAAGAAGCTGCCCGTGAGGTCGATTCTGTCTTCTCGCTTCTTAAGCTCAGTTGATACTGACATATGTTTATATGCAGTTGAATTACCGGTGCATAGTGGACATTCATCACCAAAAAAAAAAAAGAGGTCCCTGTCATTGCTCCGTGTGCACTATCACCCCTTACCATTGCTCCGTTTGCTGACAGACCCTTTCGTCCCCCCGCTGACTCCTTGACCAAGTCGGTCGACAAGGATGAGAGGAGAAACGTCGCGCCACATGCTGTGCCGTGCGTTGGCACCGTCGGCGGTCGACCTGCTGTTGCCTCGGAGGCTAGCAACCTTGGTACGCAAGAGAAGGCAGGGGAGCATGTGGCAGGGGAGTTGGTGAAAGGGGAGTTGTCAAGCAACACGTTTTCGTGCAAATTTGCGTCTGTCGAAGAAAGTGCTCCAGCGAGCAACTTGTCAGTGCGACACTCCACTCGCACAATGTAACCACAACGTTATCTAGATGTCTGCCCAGCATTTGTCAAACACTCCTTGATTATGAGCATGTAAACGTTGTGCTTCTGGAGCTCTGTGATACACATTCAGACCCTTGACGTCGTTGGGACATCTTGATAATGACCGTCAAGAAAGCGTTGGTGAGCTGGAAGGGCATTCGGTGAAGGTTGTGATGGATGAGGAGATACGGAGTCTCGTCAACGGAACATGGGTGCTGGTACCTCGGTCGCGTAGCGTCAATGTCATGACAAACCACTGGGTTCTCATGACGAAGTACAAGGCCGACGACACGGTTGCTTGTAGGAAGGCGGGACTTGTCGTGAAAGGATTCACGCAGATCCATGACACCGATTGCAATGAAACATATAAACCAGTAGGCAACTACATCACGCTGCGCATCTTTCTATCATGTGCAGCTGGACATGAAGAATGTCTTTTTGCATGGATCAACCTTTGTACTTCAACGATGGCTCACCTCGTTTCTTCAAACTTCTGAAAAGCATGTACGTCCTCAAGCTAAGCCCACTTTTGTGGTATTCAGCGCTCGACAACGCACTCACTGGCGGCGTGAGGAGAAAGAGTTAGGTCGACGAAGTAATCTACTTTAAATTCGGTAACGATAGAGTGGGCTACTCATCTGCGTCGACGACCTGCTCACCGCAAGTAGCCGCCTAGAGGTGCTGAAGGATTTGCGTAAAAATATTTGAGCTGCAGGGGATCACCCGCGTGCAGAACTACCTGGGCTTCGAGATCTTCCGCAACAGATCTGCAAGGAAATTGTGGTTGCGCCAGCAAGCATGTATCGACAAGATTCGACAACGCTTCACTGACGAGGGAAAATCAAATCATCGTCTGAAGACGCCGATCTTCGTCGACGCGTACAGCAAGTTGACGTTCGACGGCGAAGAATTTCAAGCGCGCAAAGAAGAGGACTATTTAGCAAGAAAGTGTAATCCCTCCACTTAGCTGCGACCACTATTTACCCGAACATTGCTCTCGCATGCACTAAGCTGGGCCCTGGTGGATACGTGTGACTTAGCTCTCGAATTTGGTGGGGGACCAGATTCTTTGCGTCTGGTAGGTTATGCGAATGCTAATGGCGCTAATGACAAGTAGACACGCAGCAGCACGAACGGTTGCATCTTTGTCTTCGGCGGCGCAACTGTCTCGTGAACAAGTCAAAGGATCAAGTGTGCGTTGTATTTGAGTGCATGTCATCCTAACATCGTGCCGGGTGCTTGTTCGATTCATGCTTGCACTATTTGTGTGAGCATATATTATGATTCATGTCTATTGGGTTTTATCACCTTTGTCTCTTTCTCCAAGTCAAAATGCTTAATTACACGGGAGAAATACATAGCTTTCCAACGATACCAAAATCTCCTTATTTCGACCAAGATCACCAAGATCTTAATTAGGGATATTATCTCAATTGAGTGATTATGGAGACGTGTCTATAAATTGATCTTTGGTTGAGTGGTTGGGAAGGCAACAATGATTTTTGAATTGAGGTGGCAAGAAGTTTCTAGCATGGGTTGCAAATGTTGCAACACCTAGGCAAAATCCAATTGGATTGAATTTTGCGTGTGACACCTTAAAGACCTTATGATGAGGGTTGCATCTTTGATGTTAAGATTCCTACCATCATTCCCTAGCATTTGGAGAGCCTTCCCTCACAAGGTTCTCTTGATATCCCTAACTCTTTTCATTTTATACCTAATGTTTGTTCTTCCTCCATCTATTCTAGTGAAAGCATCAGTTATACGGTTTCAACTCGTTCTCACTTTATAGATGATAATTTCGAGTGATTCAACTTCAAGATGGTAGCTAGGCAAAGGCACGCAATCCTAAATAGCAGATTTGCATTTAGTTGAGATTTGAGTTTGTTGTAATATCCAAAAGAGACGGATCATCGAGCAACAAGTGGTATCAGAGCTGCTGGTCGAGCAACAAGTGGTATCATCGTCGACTCTCAACCAATTTTGACAAATGAAACCTGCTTATTGTAGCTCTGCTCACGAATTTTCCTTGGTGGTCGAATCGCATCCTAATTTAAAGTGCGCTAACCATGACGGCGTTTTTCGTGATAATGGAATTTATGGTAGAATCCTGTCCAAGCAATCTTCATTTCCACCGTGCCTAAGGCCTCTTGATGGCTGAGACGAACTCCAGAGGTGCTAATGATGAGATGGCTGTAAGTGGAGAGGCTAGATATCAAGGGAAAGTAGTTGGTGGTGGTGTGGAAACTCACCAACCAACTACCCCTGTGCTGCTCCCTTCCACTATATACCATCTGTTGTATGTGTGGATCCTATGAAAGTCTTCTCTATTGAAAAGTTCATGAGGGAGGATTTCGAGCACTAAAGCTATCATGTGTACCCAACACCAGTGCACGAGTAATTGTAGCATCTGCGCGTGCAACAGAAACTTCTCGTACACATGTGCAGGGGATGCAGTTTGTGCACAGGTTTGGAGTTCATCCGCACAGGGTTGCATTTAACCCTGCGCACCCTCGTGAATGCACAACAGAATCTCGACGAGAAATTCGACGTGCGCAATTTTTTACCAATGACGGCGTAGGGAATTATTTACCAATCAAAGACAGAAATTGTATCCGCAAGGAGAAATTGAACTAGTGACAAATATCATCCTGCTACACGTTTTTGTAACAGCAAAAACATGTGCAACTATGCATGTTGTACAACCTTGGAAACTGCTTAGGTGGAAAATACATGGGCTTGGGTGATCACGTGGCATAGCTGAGTTGACAAAGCACATGCCTGGTTTCAGAATCACTAGGCAAGAATGATGGATTGAATCACACAGTTGGGTACAAGTAGCAAACCCTAGTTGGGGTTGTACCCCATATTGGCTACCCCACTACAGCCTACAAGCATAATACAGTTTAACACACCCCCATAGGCAAAGTGGGGGAGAACAAAGGGTCACAAGACCAGTCCAGCAAAGCAAAGCAAAGCCCAGGGTGGATCACAACGTCACCACACTCCGAGCACAAGTAAAGGCCACAAGGCCAGTTCACATGCAGTGCTAGATATAGTACAAGACAAGCAACACAGTGATCAAAACCTAGCAAGCAAGCAACAAGATATATATAAAGTACAGTACAAAGAATGTCAAGCAGTGAGCAAGTGAGGAAACGTGGACACAAGGCCTAAAGAAGTACAGTGCCGCTGATGATCACTAGGCGAGAGCGCCTTGGTGAAGATATCAGCAGTGTTGGCCTTCGAGTCCACGTACACAAGCCGAAGCTGACCGCGCTGCTGAAGCTCTCGAGCAAGAAAGTAGCGAAGAGCAATGTGCTTCGTCCTGTGCTCCAGTCTGTGCTCCTGACACAAGGCAAGAGCCGCCTTGTTGTCACCGTACAGAACTGGAGGAGAACTAGGCCG